CGACACGACACGACACGACACGACACACGGTAAGAGATAGAACACGCGTGAGTGGGACGCCCGAAGGAAACGCACCGGTGTGATAGGCTCTGAGTTGCTGGCACATGCGGAGGGACAGCGTGTTGTAGTACGAGAACTGGCTAAAGTCGGCCTCGCCCAGCGCATAGTAGGCCATGGCGCCGAGGCCCTCTGCCACCTCGATACTCTGACAGTCAAAGAGGTCGGCGAGCTGCGTGCGCGCACGGTGGTAGAACTCCTTCTGCGTGTTGCAATCGCCGATGAGCCTGGCCGCTGCAGCCGCACAATGAGCTCAGTCAGGCAGAAGGCACACTGTTTGTTTTTGACTCCAGAAGCCAAGCAAGCGTACCCAGAGCGACCAAGATATTAACGTTGAACAGAAGCGGATCCGATTCGCCTTCTTCGTTGTGTTGCTGTTCATTTGCCCTCGCCGGTCAGTTTCATGCTCACGCGAAAAAGAGCGAAGAGCGAAGAACGAAAACGAAAGACTTACGAAAAGAGCGAAAGCGAAAGAGAACGGACCAGGCTCATGCGCAGCGTGTCTTCGTGCATGACGGAGGGGTGCATGACCGTGTACGCCCAGATGCTCTCCTCGAACGTGTTGGCCAGCCGGCTGAATTGGGTGAAGTACTGCAGGTGTGTGTCGCCCGTCCACAGCTTCCACTTGTAGATGCGCGCGTGCGTCTTGCGGGGTTGCCGCGTCGCTCGCTTCTTCCCCGCTGACGCCGTCGTCATCGCATCCATCGACTGCACCTGGGCCGTCGTCGCCCTCCGACCGGCGGCGCTGGTCGTCGATGGCGGCGGCGTGGAGGGAACGAACGTGATGGCCGTCGACGTTGTTGTCGTTGTTGTCGAAATTCCAGACTGCTGCTCAGCTGCATTTTTGCTTCTGGGCTTCTGGGTAGGCTGCGACGACGCCGCCGCCGCTGCTACTGGAGGGGGTGGCCCGGGCAGAAGCGCGCCGGCATCGTGGCCCCGGGGCAGGAAGGTGGTGGTGCTGGTGGCGGTGGTGGTGGGGACCACAGGCAGGGGCGGGCGCGGAGCGATGGCGGCCAAGGCCCTTCGCGGCGCCAGTCGTGGGAGAATCGGGCGGGCCTCGGCCTGCAGCGGCGGCAGCATCGCTGCAGCGGGCTGTGGCAGCGGTGGTGGCAACGTCGACGACGACGGGTAGAACGGTTGAAAACCGGTGTTGAAGGCCGCCTGACAGCTGTCACCGCCAGTCGCCATCTGTGCTGGGAGCGAATGTGGCGTACGGCGGTAATGGTCCGTAATCGCTGGCGCGGGGGTCGAGATGGTTTCACCGGTGCTTCGCTGGCGCGGGTCCCGACCGTGGCGAAGCTGCGTGATTGCGCGGTGAGCCGGCGACCAATCGGAAGCTTGAGAATGGAACGCAGATGTCACCATGATGGTGGCAGATGGTGGTGGTGCCAACTGCTGCTGCCATGCGGTCGTGGTGGAGGAGAATGAAGAAGTAGAAGATCCCGAAAAGGACGGCTGCGAGCGGCGAAAGAAGGCGTCGACAAAGGCGTCATCGTCGTCGGCCCGGTTGTGGAGGATGTGGTGGTGGTTCCTATCGCTGTAGTTGCCTATGGCGCCCAGCTGTTCATTCCACATGTTGGAACGCTCGGGGATCGCAGAATGGCTCTGCTCGAAGGGCGGAAGGCAGAACGACGCCGCAGGCGGCAGCCCAGCTGCGTAGCCGAAGTTGGAGATGGGGGCGGAGACGGGGGATGTGGATGTGCAGTAGTAGTTGGGGTCGAACTCTAGATTGTGGGACGGAGGCGGAAGTAGAGATGGTGGATGGAGGGACGGATGTTCGGACGCGGGCCAGGCAGCTGCGAGGAAAGGTGAGGAGTGGCCAGGGTCGCTGGGCGGGAGGAGGGGCGCCCACTGGATGACGCTGGGCTGCGATGAATCCAACGCGCCACGGCTCTCCTTGCCGGCCTACAACCGCGAAGAAAAGAGCGAAGAAAGCGATGAGGTGGGAAAGAAAACGAAGGGGGGGGGTAATGATAACGAAGGTGGGAGTGAATCACCTCCCGTTCGGGATTGGGAAGAAGAGCGTACCGGCAGTGCAGAGGTGAACGCGAACGACATGCGGAACCGTGAGCGGCAAAGTTTAGGTGTCCGTGCAGTGAGTGACTGGCAACAAATAACCACAAAACCTGTTCGTCTCCCGAGGACCTGCTTCGCGTTCTCCTTTTCTACAGAACGAGCGCGTTGCTGGGACGAGAGCCCTTCCTAGTTACCATTGCTGTGAGAAAGGCAGAACGCTGGTGGTGAGCAAGAAGTCTTAGGTGCAGAACCCAACAACAAGCTGCACGCCAACAACAAAGGCAGAAGACATCACCATTCAGATGTAGCATTGTGTCATTACTTTTACTTGAGCCAAGAGTATGTACAGTCCCAAAAAGAGAAGAGTGGACGTCGTCCACGCTCTCTTGGGGAAGAATATGTGTAGGGGGGGTATGTGGAAGGAAAAGAGGAGTGCCAATAAATATTAAGGGGTCACGCTCACTCGGTCTTGACGTAGTACGACGGGAACCAGCCCACCTTCTTGTTGCAGCAGCCGTAGAACATGCCTTCTTCCTCGTTCACGACAAGCACTAAAGAAAGAAGAAGGAAAGGGTGAGAAACTTGCGTTTACGAATAAGTGCAAAAAAGACGAGAAGGTAGTACCTCTGACGGAAGCGCCGCGGGGGAAGGAGAGGTGCTTCTTGTCGCTACTCTTATAGCTCTGGAGGGCCTTGGCCATGAACTTGGTGTTGGCCATCATCTCGCTCTCGCGCAGCTTCATCACCTCCTTCCTCGATCGCGGACCTGACGGAAGGGACTTGAGCGGCGACGACGCGGGCGACGATGACTTGGACGAAGGCGACGACGACGGCGACGACTTGGCGGGCGACGAAGAAGCCGACGACGACGACGACGAAGAGCGAGGGACGGCCGGCAGCTTCTTACTGCCCGGCTTACGGGCGCCAGCGGCGGGCTGGACTCGCGCGACGCCGTTCTTGGCCGCGCTGGCCCTCGCCTTCTGCTGCGGCGACTTTACGCCGGCCGACTTCTTCTGTGGCGTCACCGGCTGCTGCTGCGGCTTCTTGTCCTTGATGTTCTGCAGCTTCTGCATGTAGAAGTTGTTGCGCTCCTGAACGTGGGCCTGGCGAGTCTTGGGCTGGGCAGCAGCGACGCCCTTGCCGACGCGTCCGCGGTTGTTGGCCTCGCGCTCCTGCTGCTTCTCGCGGCTGCGCACGTCGATGCGCGACCTCGACTCCTCCTCGATCTGCTTGCGCTCGGCGCGGATCGAGCTCATCTCGAACTCGATGCGCTTGCGCTCGGTCAGCAGCGCGGTCTTCTCGCGCTCGATCTCGGCCAGCTCCATCTTGCGCTCGCGCTCGCGGGCGAGCTGCTTCCGCATGACCTTCCAGGCCTCCTCGTCCTGCGTGTCACCATTCTTGAGCATCTCCTCCTCGAGCGCGCGCACGCTGTCGCTCGACTCCTCGCCCCTGCGCTCGGCCGCCAGGCGCCTCTCGCGCTCCTCCTCGCGTTGGCGCTCGCGCTCGGCCTCGTCTTCGTCCTCGTCGGTCGACACGCGCTCCTTGCCCTTGGCCCGCCTGCGGGCCTCCTTCTCGGCCTTGCTCTTCATCTCCTCCTCGCGCTTCTCCACCGGCGTGTGCTGGAACACCACCCAGTGGTCGGGATCGAGGCTCTTGCAGCTGTCGCCGTACAGGCACTGCGGACGCTCCTCGTTGACCTGTTGTTGCCAGCGCACACGACGAGGGTGAGAATGTATGGCGTGATTGGGGTGGGAGGGGGATGCGACGACATACCAGAGCGTTGGCGCCCTTCTTCTGCAGCTTTTTGCGCTTCTTCATGATCTTCTCCATGTCCTTCTTCTGCTTCTTGGCCTTCTTGTCCTTGGGTCCGCTGCGGAGCGCGACGGCGGGGCGGAGGAGCAGGAGGGGCTTCTTGGAGGCCTTGCCCAGCACGCCCTCCACGCTCTGGCGCTTGGAGGCCTTGACCGCCTTGCGATCGGCCGCGTCCAGGGCGGCGTCCACGTCGCTGACGCGCCTGGTGCCGCTGCTGGCCTTCTTCGCCGCAGCCGAGCCGGAGTCAACGCTCGACCTGCGCTCGTGCACGATGGGTCCCGCGGCGACGGAGACCTTGACCATGTCGCCGGCCATCGAGTCCCAGCTGATGCCCTTGGCGCGCCTCGAGGCCAGTTCGCCGGCCAGATCGCTGCCGGCCTTGCGCTCGCGCTCCATCAGGGGCGTGGGCGGGAGCGGCTTGCGCGGGATCATCGGCTTGCTCAGCACGCGCTTGGGGGAAGTGCCCAGGGCAGCGGCCGCCACCACGATGTCGACGCTCTTGTCACTGTCGTCGTACTTGAGGGAGTTGCTGCTGGTGTTGCTGTCGCTGCTCTCGACCAGCGGCGGCAGGCCCATGGCCCGGCGCTGGTCGTTCTCGGCGGCCTTCTGCTTCTCCTCGGCCTCGCGCAGCTGACGAAGAGTCTCCTCGCGCGCGGCCATCTCCTCCTCCATCTTGCGGAACCACGCCTCGTTGCGGCGTTTGAGGGTCTGCTCTCGCAGGCGTCGCTCCTCCTCGACGCGCTTCTTGGCCTCCTCCAGGCGCAGCTCCTCCTCGACGCGCTGCTGCATGCGCTCCCACTCCTCCTCCTTCTGCTTGCGCTCGCGCGCCTCCTCCTTCTTCTTCAGGGCCTCGCGCCTCTGCTGCTCGCCGTCGCGCTCGCGCTGGGCCGCATCCTTGGCGTCTTCCTCGCGCTTCTTCTTCTCCTCTTCCTCCTTCTTCTGCTTGTCCAGAGCCCACACGTAAGTGCAGCGCGCCACGAGCTCGTTGCGCATCTCCTGGCCGGCGCCCTCCTCGCTCTGCGAGTCGTCGCTGGCCGGCGAGGCCTCCTTGGTGCTCTCACCGTCCTCCTGAGCTTCGTCGCTGTCGCTGTTGAGGAGTGCGAGAAGCTCGCGCTTCCTGCGCGAGGGCTCGCCGCTGGTCCTCTTGGCCGGCTGCGTCTTGGCGACCACCTTCTCCTCGGCGTCGCCTCCCTGGCTCGCCTT